CGTAGTACCTCAAACACATTTGGTGGCATTTGACAGTCTGACAGTCGTCTGTCAAAGCTGCTGCCCTGGGAGTCGAATGACAAAGTTCTTTTATTCACGGCAGTGTGTCTTAAAAGTAAATTATAATTTTTTGTTCGTTTTTTTAGTTCAATGTCTGATTTTAGTCAGGAAGTACGAAAGGAACGACTGAGGTGTTGTCGCCCGTTTGTATTTAAATGATGTGCTGTCCAGGTGGTTGCAACATGTGACTTGGAAATCTTGTATGCAACTTTAGAAGATGTGGACTTCAGTCAAAGCATCCATTAAAAACTAACTTTTTTTTCTCTAAGTTCTTACTTCTAAATGATAACAGGTGTAATTTGCATCCTGGGTGATCATCATTTCAAAGTATGAATTCAGAGGAAAAAAGTTAAAGTTTTTAATGGATGCAGCCTACGCAGAGATGACCGCTGTGGTTCTTTAATCGGCTAAATTATACATGAACACAGTAGAACAGAATGAGAGGCTGCAGGAGATGGCTACCCAGAGACTGGTCTAAAACCATGATCTTCTTCTTCTGTTTAGGTGGAGGCAGTAGTGGTTCAGACTGGGTCTCCTGCAGTAACTGACACACTGCATTCAGACACATGCGAGTTGACCTTATGACATTTCCTGCCTCCAATTTCTCAGCTTCAACTACTGCTCCATTCACTTGGGTTCTACATTGTTTTTCCATTCTGTGAGCACGGTCCAGAAAGTAGACTATAAACTGACCTCTGCTGTTGCTGCCGGGCTTTAGATTGACTGACCTTTACTGCAGTCGCCAGCTGAGTCTTTAAGATATCATAGACAGAGACATGCAAAGTTTTCTGCAAAAAAAAAAAATGTTCCACCACTTTCTTAATGAGCAGATGATTTTAAAGGTTCTTTGTGTTAACTGAAGTTGTTCCATAAAGTTTCGACCAAGTTCACTGGTGACTGGTGGAAGCACTGTTTTCTAACAGTTTCTACCAATGGGCAGAGGCTACATGTGTGGTCCCCTGGGGTGCCATCTGCTGGAGGGACCAATGCTGCAACCCCTAAAACATCTAAGACTAAATAAAAAGTGTGTGTGTGTGTGCAATAATCTCTACTCCCCCCTTGTGTTTTATACATTTATATATTCTCTACAGCGGTTTATTAAATCTAACCTGCTCCACGTTGTTGTTCTAACAGTTCTGCCTGACTCACCGTAGCCAATCGTGCTGCAGCTGCTTCACTAACAGGCTGTGAAAGCAGCATCCCTATGGACGCCGCAGTATCAGCCACAGCTCCAGGTTTAAATTGACTTGTTGTGGTATTTCCAGGTGAAGTTGAAGGCAGTGATGTGTTTGTCTCCCCCACGTCCTGAACAGAAACACTCTCTGTGCTGCGTTTGTGTCCTGTGCTCTGATTTCCACTTCCACAGCAGGTGGAGGTTTGGGGGAGGAAAGGGAGGCCCTTTCAGTGACAAAGACTTATTTGACCCGTCCGACTGTACCATGTGCTCAGCATGTGCAGGATCAGATGAATTTTTCATTAACAGCTTGTTTGTTCTCGATGTGAAGTCAGCTTTGATTCATGAGTTTCTGTGCGAACAGTTGCATAGCTTAGTTTTTTTTTTTTTCACAGTGAAGTTGAAGCTGAAGCTCACAGCTCGCTGTGAAACATTTCACCGTGAGTTGTAAGGAGATGTACTGCTAAGTTTACAGCGTGGCTAAAATAGTGTGGAACAGGAATATCGTTGTCGCCCGTGTGGGTCGTGATTTTGTTGCTGCATGTTGCTCCACATCATTAGTCATGTCGTCGGCCTGTGTTTTGGGTACCTCAGGTCGACACTCTGACTTAACAAATGCAGCAGTGCCACTGCAATCATGTCAGTCAAGGGGTTTGCAAAATAGTTGGTAACAGTCCCTGAGTTCATACATACTGTTTACTATCAGCACAGTGGTGTGGTCTGCAGAGTACACGTGGTGAGTTCAAGTGCCTTAAGGTCATGGTCAACCGCTCATTGTTGGTTTTCTCATTAGTACTTTATTATTGACACATTGTTAGTAGTACTTGTGTGGAATATTTAATTTGACACAAACAATTAAAATGAGTTTACGGCCACCAGGTGTTCATTTTGAAAAAAAGTGCTTCTCTTCTCCCTGTCATGTCTGATTTGATTTGCAGCTGCACCTGAATGCCTCACTGTCAAGGTCACATTTGTTTCCTTATTCGTATTCTCCTCACTTTGACTAACAATGATTAACTATGACTACTTGTGCTAGTTTTGCATTCAGAGTCAGCCTCGAATATTTCCCTGCCTGATGCTCAGCTTGTTAGTTTCGTCAGGCCATTTGCACCAAGTAAACTGTCACCTCCGTACAGCAGGGGGTGCAGTCGTGGTGGTGACGTGCTGCTGAGAGGAAATTAATTGGGTTTTTTTCCCTCTGCTCCAGGGCTCATTTATGTCATTAGGATCTGAAGAGATCTCTGCTTGTTACCATCAGCAGCAGCAGCAGAACTGGATAAAGCAAAAAGTTAAAAAAAACAGGACTAAAAGAGGAGGATGAGGAGCAGTGACACATCAGAGGGTCAAACTGACCCCAGTGAAGCTGTAGCTGACCCTGGAAGTTATTGCATTTGCATAAAAATCATCGTTGTTTTACATGGTCTGTAAAAGCAAATTTATGTTCAAAATTTGATATATATATATATATATATATATATTAATGTCTATGATCTGATCTCTGATTGGCTCACAGCCTTTGGTGCTTGGTGACAAAAAATCAGTGATAGCTTCTTACAACCAGCCGAGTTGGCTGATTTAATTCCCCCTGCTGCGGGGTAAATGTTGTCTTTACTGTGTTAGTGCTTAAGCAAAATTAATGACAGACTTTTGGGACCACATTTACTTTAACTTTCACAGAAAACACAGCAAATGGCTTTCCTCTGAATTTTCTTTTTTTTCCGGAGTGAAAGTATAAGTCAATTTGCCTTAAAGTCCTGGCCCTGTGTGTTGATGTGCGTGTGTGACATGTGTGATCTGTTTAACACTTCATAGGAAAATTGATTGTTTTTTATTACAATACCTTTTAGTACTTTCACCCAGATAAATGACCCTGTGCACAGGGGTTCCTTACAGTTTAATCAAACTGCCGCATCCAGACAAGTTCCTAACAACGAACCCTTTGTCTCCTCTGAGGTCTTCAGAGATAGTAGTCGTTCCAAGGGGAGCATTTTTCACGTCCTTTCCTTCAGTCTCACCTTTCCTACCATTTCCCTCCCTCTAATCTCCAATCGTTTCGTTGTCAGAGCCTTCCTTCTCCCCGTAGAGCCGTCTCCTGTGGAATTGAGAATATTTATTCCAGTGACGTCTGCTTTCTTAGCAATTGCGAGCCTCTGGATTCTGCTTGTCTTGGATGTTGGGTGTCTTTTCGGTTGTATCCCCATCTCTCGTGTCCTCCTGGGATCCTGCCTTTCCAGTTTATAGTTTGTCATTTCCTCTCTGCAAAATTATTTATTTTGTCACCCATCATGTTTTCACCTCATCTGATCTCAATAAAAACTCTTTTTTTTAATCTTTATATCTTTATCGTTTGTCCTGTTCCTCCTGGAAGCGTTCCTCTTTTTGTTCCTTGTTTGTTTGTAAAAATAAAAGTGTAAAAAAAAAGAGAGTCGTTATAGTAAAACTAAGGTGGTGACCACGCCCTAAACCAACGCTGGGATATGTGTGATCACCAGAGCCAAGTTGTGAAAGCCAGGCTGTGTGAGTCACATGGAAAGTTGGTATCACCTGAGGAACACAGCCGTCCTAATCCTCCTCGTCTGTGGCGCTACGGTTTCTCCCGGTTGATGTTGATGACTTCTTTTACTCATCTCTGAAACCACCTGTCTTCTGTGGCAAGACTACAAATATTTATATCCTCACTGTCCTGAAGAAACAGACGAACAGCTGAGTCCAAAGTGTACCTTTTACTTCAAAACCTTGGGTTCTTTTTGTTGACTGTTCACTCTTTAAGGTTCCAAAAACTTCAGCTGTATCTCTGTTTATATAAACGTCATTTTCAGATGTGGCAAATGACACGATTCTTCTGTATTTTCTGTTGAGTTTAAAATCTCGTTCGGCCTGTCTCTTCATCATGATCCATGAGCCATGGTCGTGGAACAGCTTGCACAACTCCCTCTGCTTCAGACATAGAACTCGGTCACGTTGCCTGTTGAAACAGTGTATCATGTTTTGCAGTCATCCTTCTTTTTGCCAACCAACCTGGGATGGAGTTGTGTCAAAACCCAGAAACTTCTGGCTCTCCCACATATTACACACATACACATTGCCTGTTGGTATAGTGTAAATCAAGGCCAGGCCCTCTGGTGTGCAACTGATGCTGACAGCTCAGACTGAGCCTCACATTTCCCAGCAGACACTCTGCGATCCTTCAGGCAGCTCAAACACACTCTGGTCAGAGTATTTCCTCTCTCTCTCTCCCTAAATGTCTCCGGTATCATTTGTAAAGATGAATTTCATTACATTTGAAGGATGCTCATTTCACTCAGACTCCTTTTTCATCCCTTCTTGGTATTTATGTCATCTTTATCATTACCCAGCACTGCCAGGTTATCAATTACATAAGTACAGGATGTAGATTGAACTTGAAGAACCGACCCTGAGTCAGCAGTTTTGAGGGAGCCGATGTGTTTTTGACCTCTGTTATCAGTGTAGCAGAAAAGTTTTGGGAGTAAATTCTCTCCCCAACCTGTGTAGAGAAACAAACACTGCTCTCATAATTACATACCAACGACATTTATTATTATTACCAACGGCAAATTTAGACAGTGCTTCTCTGGCTCTGCCACAGGGTGTATCCTCAAAGCCGATGGATTTCCGTTTGTTGTGTCTGAGACGTTCAGGCATATTTGGAAACTAAAAGCTGTCTGATCTGAGAGGCAAATTTAGACAGTGCTTCTCTGGCTTGGGTTCTCTTGTAAGGTCATTTAGGTCTGATGTCAGACAAGACCATCCCTTAAAAACTTGGCAGGGACGGCCACTGCAGCATGTGAGAGTGTGTACTTTCTCTATAGTTACTCTTTCTGTGTCGTGACCAATCATATTTTCATTTCACAAAGGCAAATCTGCCGTGACAGTTGTTGGAACACATCATCTGACTTGATTTGAAAACAATCAAACAAAACATTTCTCTTTCTCATGAACTGTCATTAAAAAACAACTAGAAAGAGATAGTGTATAGTAATGCGTCGTGTTATAAATGTTTAATTATTGTTATATTTGTCAGGGCAGTCAGAATTCATGACTTGACCCACTAACTGGACCATTGTTTCTCAAAGACTGGGTTGCGACCCTCTGGTGCGTCAAAAGAGTTTTTTTTTTTGGTTCGTCTCGCATCATGTTTCACAGGAGTTTAAGAATAATGTCTATTGACTTTTAAAATATGGGTCAGAAAAAAAAAGTTTGGGGAACACTGAACTAGACCACCTATCAATGCTTGAATACACTGATTGTTCAGACATGATATACACATTGTTTTTATTCCAGCAGGCACCACATGCTTTAAACACCATCCTAACCCCCAAAATGCATTTGTGCAGGCATCAACATAAGGTCAGCGGCCCAGTCTGTGTCAGAGCAGGACGGTCTACAACTGAATGTTTACAACTGAGTGTTTTAAGAACTATTAGAGAGTCATTATTGTAATAATACAGTAATAATTCCTAATTGTTATGAAAGAGTCAGACATTTAATTTTCATGATTTTTATCTCTGGTGTCACATGCTTAGATTTAAAAATATATATTATTTGTTTAAAAAAATCCATATCTGAATTATTGAACAGCAAAAACAAGAAAGAAGGAAAACTAAACTTCACCGTATAAAAATGATCAACCCTCAGCCTCAGGGTGAGTGGCTCTGTCTTTGCAGCCACAACAACGATGTGAAGATTTAGATATGACTCAAAGCACCAACAACTAAGCCATGAAAACACTTTCTTGAAGTCCTGTGAGTTCTGAAGTGGATTGAACTTGTTCATCCAGCAAATTTCACAGAGACTCACTTGGACTGATCCATGGGGAAGTTGCAGAGCAAATCCAGGCCTCAAACTTTGTGTGTTTAATGCTACTTTTTCCACTTTTTTTTTTTTTTGCAGCTAGGTAGGGTGCATTAGCCAACTGAAACTGGCAGCTGCCAACCAGGGAATACTATTTCTATAAAGAGAAGCACAAAGTCAGCACTTGATGTCAACTTGCTGCTATAAATATCCCACCTATTCCTACGTGTCACTTCAACTGTCGATAGTTATAATGTTATGGATGATTGGCGTCTGCCTCTCTGTCAGGTTGAGGGGATGAGCTTCATGCAGGAGTGAAGAACTTCGAAGCCGTGAAGCTCACGAAGTTTGTCCACATGTCTGGAAATCCAAACAACAGAGGATAAAGTTTCCATCCAAACTGAAATGCCTAGAATAATCACTCATTTCTGTAGTTTAATGCCATTATTGTTATTGTAGAAAATTGGCTATGAAATCCAAAAATGGAAATCAACAATTACTTCCTGTCACTGTAAATGAAAGCAGTACCTGGGCTCTGATCGACACAGCGCCCCCAGAGCGATGGCTGCGTTCCGTTGCACTCCTGTCTTCTTTGCATTTCCTGCAGCGTGGCGTAAGAGCAGCAGCACGACATCTGTGTCCAAGAGTCTGCAGGCCACTCCATCCAGCTGGAGACAGTGGGTCAGGCAGAGGGCAGCGTTCCCCGTCACCACCTCGTCGTCACTGGCGGATCCCAGCAAATGACGCAAAACGGACAATTCTGTGTCGCATGATGGAGAACATTCAGTCAGTTCAAGTGCTCACTGCACACTCCACTCCATGAATACAAATGTGGATGCCTACACACAAGGACACACGTGAACACACGCACACACACGTGCACACAGTGGCAAATGCTGTGATTTGCATTTGAGGTCAAAACTGAAATATTATTCACAGACTAACGAAGGAGCTCGTAAGAGTCGTGTCCACATGTCAGTCATTTCTTACTTTTGTCAGACTTCACCAGCTCCTCCCGAGCCGACTGACTGGCAGCGGTGCACACTGTCAGAGTCTTAATGGCATATTTAGTGGCGGGTTGGCCTTGTCCCTAGATACGCAAACGCACACAGACACAAAAAAAAAATCAGGGCTCATGAACTCATACATTTACACTCAGTGTATCTACAGTGGAATAGTGTTAATATTTCCACATTCACACTTATGAATAAATAGTAATGTTCAGGCAGTTATGGGAACAGCTGTAAGGTCAGGGCCCTTCAACCGTACAGTTATTAAGTGTCTATTTTAGCAGTTCATAGAAAGGTAAGCAAAAAGAAAAAAAGTAATTTAGGTAACAGTGATTGTGGTGTTACTAATGCACAAAGATTAGAGCCGGGGCGTCAAACCCATTTTCACTAGGGGGCTTCCTTTGAAGGGGCGGTTGTAAAAGGAAGACTGTATAGATGTTACTACCATTACAATACAAATATTGTTCATTACAGTGTAATAAAAAACTTGATTTAGCAGGTTAAGAAACTCTGCTGCCTGGAAATGTTTTTTAAGCTCCAGTGGGTCGTGCAAAATGCCTTGGTCAAGGAAAATCATATACCGCACAGGTTTACACACACGTGTTATCTATCCGATACTTTGAGCGCCGATGCACTCTCGCTCTACGCTTGGCCTCTTCATAGACAACAGGGTGCAGTACCACATGTATTTTGAGGGGCGCATTTTTAAACATCATGAAACGCTCTCTCAAAGTGAGAGGAGGAGACGACAGAGGCACAACGCAGAGGGATTACGATTACGAATAGGCTACGCTAGTTATGTTCACTTTTCCTGCTCAAATACGTTTTTCTGCTCCAAAATGCAAGTGTTTAAACTTGACTCACCGACTATATTTGTCGGAGGGACAGAATTTTTCTGGAGGCTGGATACGCAAATAAAATGAAATTAAAATCTATTTCTTGCTTAGCACCACATTATAGTTTCACTTTGGTTCTCACAATTTTGGAATGCAGTCCTGGACCAGATTGGACAGTTGAGTGGGCCGGATTCAGCCCATGGGCCGCCAGTTTATAATCGCTGATTTTGGAAGTTTGCACAATGATTAAATAAATAGAATAAATTGAAAATGGTAAAAATTATCTTATAGAAGTATTTTCAGTGTGTACCTTCAGTAGCCAACACATGGTGCGAACCACACCCTGCTGTACAACGTGCTGAACAGCCTGGGGCGACTGTGGCAGGACATTGCTCAGTACACCGGCGGCCCTCTGGAAGACAAAGAAGAATGCTACTGAAATACAGGTCTGGATTTTGTGTGAATGAAACAAGTTGAAGGAATCATGTTCTTCAGGACAAACCAAGTTAAAGAGAACTTGGATAACCAGTTTGAATCTGTGTTTCAGAACATCCAGGGCGAGTTACAAGTACAGGATACAAGACTTAATCAGGAACTAAATGAACTGGAATACCAACAAGACCAACTGCAGATCTATCAACCTCGGCGATCATTCGCCTCCGTCTGAAAAAAGCTGAACAGTTAAAAGGATTGTAATCAGTTTTTATAAAAACAAAACCAGTAAATGTAACTAAATCTTGTCGTGGACTGAAGAAGACAGACAGTATTCATTCAGTCATGGAGTGAAGTATTTTTTACGACATAAATTAATTGTGAACGTTGGAATGACTAAAACCTGGGGAACAGATGAGAAAGCAAATTGAGAGAAATTGTTTTAAAGGAAAGCACAAGACAAATTTAGGTGATTTATTTATCTTAACCATCCGCACGATAAATGAGATTCTTCCTTCATCAAAACAGCTTACATTGGAGTATCACTGATCTCATTTGTTACATTCACAGCAGCAGGCATCCATTGTCATTAAACAGGCTCAGGATTACTCACCGCCGGCTGCCTACGCTGTGACAAATATTTAACATCGCAGAGCGAGGATTGCAACTTCTGGTCACACAGAAGGTTCACAACCCACTGACACTAAACAGCTCCAAAAACAGCTGAGTCATACCATGGAAAACAAATGACAGCAAAAGAATATTTACCTAAGAGAAAGTGTCTGGACTAAGGACGTCACCATGCTGCATATAAAACTAATTACAGTTTTAATCACTAAGGTCAATTTAACATTTGTATTGTAACATTTCCTGAATACAGTCAGAAAATAATAATAATACACTATTAGTTACCCAACACCTTTGTAAACACACAGGAACTGGATGTTTGCGTAACGTTACATTGAATTGGCAATTCAGTGTAACAGGAAATTAGGTGTTAGCGTGTCATTTGCAAATAAAAGTGTACGAGGACGACGCTTCTTCGGCTTTCAGTGCAGAGTGACAGGTCACACGGCATTCGGCTAACTTTTTACAGTATTATATTGTCGTATGTAAACAGTTTCAGTGTCAGAGTGCACTGCATTATGCAGTGACATTTAACATTACCTCCTCCACTATATAATACATCAGCATCTTTTGTGCTTGTTCATTTTTGTAGTGCTGGTATTTGTTTAACTAGTCTATTATATGGCCAGTATAAATATCTACTATTAAAAAATGTTTTAATATTTTAAATATTTCAATAAAACAAATGGATTGTATGAAATAGATATAAATCACTTTATATTTTATTTTGTAATAAATTCATTTTTGAGTAGTCGTGTGAAGTTGTGACGTTGACGGTTTCCCTCTCATTTTAGCGTTCAATCATTTGTTGATTGATCATTTGTTGGATAGCTATCAGTAAATAGCTCCTACCAAAAACAGATATTCGGCGATTTGTAAAATGTACATTTTCAACTACAGCAGTTTGATGATCCAGGGTTAAAGTTAAGTCAATGGGGTTGAGATGGTTTGGACATGGTGTTGAGGGGAGATATTAGGGCCGCGTGTACCAACGACTGGTCGGCCGGTATCGGCTGTTACTGCAGACCGGTAATACCATGCTATCGTTGAAGGATGATTAAATTTTCAAAATACATTTTTAAATCTATTCTATTATCAGAGTCTGAATAATGTTTTGCCAGGTTATCTTTAATGGAAAAAGGAAAGGGATTTGACTGGATTCTTTTTAAATTAAGTCAATTAGTAAAACTGAAGTACATTTTTTCACTGTGTCCCACTGTGACCCAGTACCAAATGACCTACGGACTGGTACCGGTCCCTATACCAGGGTTTGGAAACCCCAGCATTGGACGCTGTGGGAGACAGAGCAACGGGAAAGATAAATTCCAGCAAAAAAATGATTTAAAAAAATGAGAATATTGAGACAGTTTGTGAAGTTGGCTGGTACAAAAAAACAGATATTAAAATGTCCACCCAGTATTTTTAAAGCTTTGCTGCATCGACAAATAAAATGTTCTTGTCGTCACTAACAAGTAGAGAGCATTAGCGGAGAATCAAATCCATGATGTCAGGTAATGAGAAAGAAACCCTGTCGTACTAAAATTAAACAAGAAGTTAAACAGGGAGTTGAGACAGATGGGTGTCAGCATGGGGCTCAGGGGGCACGACAAGGTCGGTGTGAAGCTGCTGTAACAGCCATCATCACGTAGAGCTGGAGTTTTAATCAACAGTAATGACACGTGTACAGGAGCCTGTGAATGTTCTGAGGTGCTGTTACTTTAGTTTTAGGGCATTTTGCCAATGAGCTCACAGGCCGCTGAAAAGGCCTATTACTCAAGACAAATGTCTTTTGTTTTTGTCTCGTTACCTGAACAAATGGCTTTTGTTGTGCAGGTTGTCCACACGCTTGGAAAACAAGTGCAACATCAACAACAACTGCTGGAACCTGTGAGCTCTAATTTGTCCAAATGTTCCACACAGTGATCAAGAAAGATTTTTTTTTCCCCACAGCTGCTTCATGAGTCTTTGCACAACCTTTCGGGCACCATAATTAGTGTTTTGTTCTGCCAAAGGGCAAGAGAGAAATCAGGATCGGCTGTGTTTTTCATATTCAGGGTTTAATCGTTTTACTTCATTTGTATTTTAGTATTTTTCTAGGGGAAAACTGCACCAAACACTGAAGGCTCTCCACAGTAGTCAATGATTTTGATGTCCGGGTGGTAGAGTGAGTCAGTTAAGGTCACCATCGTAAAACGAGAACAAAATCGAGACCATAGATGACACACTGATGTGGTTTTGAGTTTGAACTATAGTTAACAATGGACGTTTCACAAAAAAAGTCTAAATGACTTGGGAAAGTATCATTGTATAGTCTGCTGTGTGGGGTTAATCAGTGTGATCACCCTCACCTGTGTCTCTGTCATTAGTCTCACTGGTGTCACCTGGTGCCCTGGGTATATGTACACCTCTCTCCCTCACCCTGTCTTGGTGGGATCATTGTTCAGTTTGTTTGGTGCTGTGCTCATGCTTTGTGTTCTTGCTTTGAATTTTGGCATCCCTGCCTTGATATTCATGCTCCTTGTTCTTTGTGTTGAGTTCTGCAACCTAGTGAGTGGTGTAACCTTTGACTTTTGTGAATGAACGACCGACACTTAAGGAAACTCCTGCAGTATTACCTTTGTGTCCAGCCTGCTTTCTGCCATGTCGACACTGTCGAAACTGTTAGTGGTTTACATGAACAAAACTGAAAAACTTCTGTTCTTGGCCAAAATATTATAAAATATAGGGAATTTTTGCATCACAATCGCTTGACCTCTAACTGATATCTGTCCATGATTTATTTCCTGTACTTCTCCACTTCTGTTCTCCCACCCCAGTGAAGAAGTTTCATTTTCCAGGAGTTTTAATCCTCCTGTTTTTTTTATAAAAGAAATGTAGTTTACACTTGTATTTATACTAATTGGGTAATTTACAGTGTCTAATGAAATAGCATGTTAATTAGCATTTTTAATTACCATGTTTTGTACATTTGGAGGAAACAGGGGACTCGGAAAAATCTACAGACAAACAGGGAGCTAAAATAAATCCATACAGAAAGACAAATCCTTTCTGATTTCTGTAGAACTAGATTTACAGAAATGGATAATGTTTTTAAAACAAGTCCCCACAAAATATTGACAACCAGTATGTGTGTGAGAGAATAAGAAGGAATTGCAAAAATCACAAAGTGTCAGAATGAGTCACACAACATGCCTGTATGTCTCTGTGTGTTTAGTGATTAGATGTCATCTCTCCTTTGGCCTTGTAAAGTGTTTGCCTGACAACCACACAGTGATAAACTCACAGTTATGACTCCTCCATCCGTGTCCTTCGGCAAGTCCTGACAGCAGTGGCAGACTGAGACAGCGTGCTCCTGTGAAACGACAGGGACAGACAAGAGGCCCAGGTCAATTTTAACTCATATGTCACCTCTGAATAAGTGACATCACACATCATGGATAACACCATATTCCCTCAGCTCGACTTATTCATTTACATTTCCCCAACATTATTAGTTTTTCCTACAGGTTTAGCCTTGATACACCTGCACATGTCTCAGCTGTCTTACCTGTAGGACAGGGGAAGTCACGGTGGAAAGGTCGACCATTAATCCTAGTATGCAGTAAAGGATGTGTTTGAACTCATCTGCTCTGCACTGTGTCTGCAACAAAAACAACACGTTAATATAGTCCTGAAAAGTAGTTACTGTACCTCATTATGAATGTGTATGGGTTTTTTTGTTTTTTTTTTTGTCGTTGAGGAAACGTACAACTGCGATCGCCAATGATGTCCAACACTCAGAATCGTTAGCAAGATTGTGACGGATGATGTCATCCTCAGCCAGGCGGCCAATGATTGAAATCACGGGTGCAATAACATGACAGTTGGATTTAGTAATCTTTCTCTGAAAGATATGACACACTGACAATTGTACAAATACAAATACAGACAAACAAGAGCTACACACAAAAAATGAGGGGAGGTCAAAAACCTCAAAGTGAAAAAAACATTTAATTTTCTATCATTTTAGTTAACAAGGAAAGATCGAGAAGTGCAAAAAACAGGTTTATATAAGGTGTTATTCAGGAAAATAGCAAAGATATTTTTCCTTTATCCTTATTTAAAACTGTCATTGTGTCTTTGCTACATTAAAAGACTGACATTTTGTTATCATATCTTACCAATATTGCTGTCAATGGCTCCTTGATGACATCTTTCGGCACGTCCCTTAACTGACAGCAAAATCTGCAAAAAAATACAGGCTATCATCAGCATATAAACAGACACTAATTGTTGCATAGACCTAGACTGTAGTTTTATCTGAAATCCACAAATCTTCATTTAATATGAAGTAAAATACTAAATGTCGGTCTTTTGTTGGTTGTATCGCTGTAGTTCTGTGAGTAATGCAGTTCTCTGTCATTCACAGGGTTGTTGGTTTGAGTCCAGACTTAACCATCCCCAGTTAGATGGTAAAAAACTCAGTCTTCTTCTATATTTAAAACGTGTAAATAATGTCTTGTGCATTGTATTGAATATTAAATAAAGAGATCAGTCATTCTGTCTGAGAGCTCAGATGACTGGGTTATTGTTTTCAGGAGCTTCGTGGCTTTTGCATATACAGTAGGCTCAACTAAGGCGGCGAAACCACTACAGTAGAAGCGAAACACATGGCTGAATGTGACACTGATGTATGGCGTCCAGAACAGAATGTAGATTTAACCCGAGGCAATATCTAAAATCAGCATGAACCCAAATATTCTTTTATCAAACCTAATCGTACCAGCACCACTGGGTTGAACCGACTATGATAGAAATCTGTCCGTTATCAGATGAGCCTCAGCTGGGGTATTAGTACAAGCCGTTACTGGGAGGGGCTTGGTATTTCAACTGATTTCCTCGTTCTCATGAACTAATGATCAGTGTCAGTTTTTGGAAATGGTATTTAAAGCATGACTTGTTTGTTTGCTTTTGTATCTGATTCTCCATGTCTGTCTGAGTCATAGAAACACAAATTGAATTACAAACTTTTGCCCTTTTAAACAAAGCTTTATTTTTTTTTTGGGGGGGGGGGTTCAGAAATATAGATAATAGATTGACTTTATTCCTATGAGTTGCTTTTGTTTTCCTAAGATGTTATCAGTCACGTCTTTTTTGACTTAGGGGTCACACATGGAATTCAAATGGGATCCCCTGAAATGTCTAGTAACTGACAAAAAGAAAAAAACTGAAAAACAGTGGCTTTTTTTTCATTTTCATGAATATAATTCAAGTTCAAATAAAATGCAGCATATACAAATATCTGAGCTGCTGCGCTTTAATTGGTGGCTGCGATCACATGACTGAAAAAAACATTTGTCTGGGGTCACAAGAAATTTGGGACAAGTCAAAAAAGCTTTGGAACTACTGCGTTAGTCCCTACGTTCAACTGTGGAAGCAAACTCCGCCCATTCAGTGACCTCAGAGGTTCAGATGGGTACAACTGCACATATGGGAGAATTCTATAATCTGATTTGGGCCCATCATTATCAAGAACACCATCAGGAACAAACAGGTTTTGTCCTAGTGAATAAAACCAATACTGCTGATATTATCAAACCCAAACTTTCCACTGTGATTGGAGAAATACGTGACAAAGACTTGTCTGGATTATGAATCATGTCCAAGTTTTGTGTCATTTTCAAAACATCCACAAAGGCACATCATTGATGGAGTAGAGATTCACAAGAGAAAAAGAAATGGAAAATGCGTGAGAGTGTGTCTTTGAGAAGGAGTCCTTTTTGACCTTTGAAGAGCGAAAATTGAACCGTTCATTATCCAGCTTCGCTGTCATCTCGTCTCCTGCTGTGTTTGTGTGCCTGGGTTGTCTTTTGATGTCTGCTCTTATGAAGCATCGCAGAGAGAGTCGAGTTTAGATCAACCTTTTCCCCCAGAGGGCATTAATTTTTGGAGAGGACAAAGTGATTTATTTAAAAGGCCAGTCCTGGAGACGCCAGTTTCATTGCACTATTAGGTCCAGCACATTTTAACTAATATGGATTTTATGTAAAGTATTTAATGCTGTCCTAATGATAACAGCCTCACTTCTTCCTTAAATCTTATTAACAAACAAAGAAGATAAAATAAAAACAGGGTCTTACTTGTTTTCTGCTGCGAGGTTCTTCAGGATGTCGGCTGCCATGTTCTGCTGCTGCTCCGAGATGCACACCATGAGGTTCCTCACTAACCTTTCCATTCAAATGAAATAGAAAAGGAATTAGAGTGAAATGCTACATATTGTAATAGATTATTTTGAATAATAATTTATCATTGTCGTGCATTTTTGGAACACATAGGTATAAAAAAAAAGTATTTTTCACAAGTCAAATTTAATTAAGCTGGAGCTCCAATAGTTTTAGACACAATAATAACAATAAAAATGGGATTACCTTGGCCACTGTGGTTCATTTGTAAAAGTTCAGAGTACATAAATTCAAATATATTGGTTGGTTTCTGATTCACAGTACCTCTTTTCTTTTGTGAAACCAATGTTTTTTTTTACTTTATCTGTAAACTAAAAAACACAAATCTTACATGTGGACGTTCAGATTTTTGATGACCAAACTTCTCCCACGTGTCGTCTGGGTGATCATATGCAGTAGCAGTAGACACTGTGTACGTGTGGCAACATGCTGTGATGCCACTAAACCATCGACGGCCTCTCTGGTGAGCGGGATCTCCAGCAACATCCTTTGATTTTCATCTGAAGAGTGAACAGAAACTCTTCAGTTCACTGGACAAAGGGAGCTCATCTTTCAAAATACAACCTAGGGGCAAATTTCTATTTGTTGTTTTTGTTATGTAAATTCAGACTGCGACTGTGGCAACCCCTGAAGGAAGAACAAGCCAAAAGTGATCCATGAAATGGCTTTTAGTTTCCTGGAAATATCCTATCGCCAGGTTCAATACCACTTCTGGAATCAGGCCCTATACTTCATTTGAATACTCATACTTAAAAGCACTGTGTGTGTTAGATTATTGAAACATCAGAATAGTACTATACTGATTAAGTAAAATCATTTGTTTTAAGGTTAAATGTCAAAGCTCTGCACACTTTCTGTTCAGCTGACCGTGTCAATTATTCAGAAAGTTTTACTGGTTTTATTTATTCATTCAAGTTTCATTGAAATATTGTCTAATGTGATGATTTTTTAAGGTCTTTTTTAGTACAAAAATATTTATTTCCTTTTGATTTAAAAGGTCTTACGGGATTTTAAGCTGCATTTGAAAACAAATGTATAAATACACGTTAGTTAATGTTGTTCTGATAATGTGTTGATAATTTGTGATGATCTTTCATTTTAATGATAATATTAACAAAAAATCCAGTGTGAGTCATGACTGGGATGACAACAGCTAGAAATGTACTTTTTTTTCTTATTTAAAGATAAAACTTCCCAAAATTGTTCAAACTTAATATAACAAAAACTTGTTGTTGCCGTGACATCTAAATGTTGATGTCGACAGTCAGTCTCTTCCACCGTCAGTCACCACAGTCTCAGCCTCTGAGGCTGCTCGCAGCTCATTAATTTCTCTGTACTTCCAGCAGCTTGTTTTGGAGTTTGTAGATTACAACTGCTGCGATGACGATTGGTGGGGGAAAAAACCCAGCATCAGTGATGCAGTGCTGCGTGTCTCATGAACACTTGTACTCAGCTAACAAGAGCTGCCCTGGCACAATGATGTGGTGGTGGTGAAGTGAACCTTTTCTGTTCTTCTCTCCTCTGTGGAATCACCTTCTACACCACATCACAACTGAACTGACAGGTGATTACTACCAAGTTCTATCTCAAAACCCACCTTCATACGTTTGCTTTCATTTCAAATTGACACATCGGCTGCAGCTTGGTATTAATTATTAACTGAAATATATTATTAATTCATGATGTCTGCTCTTTCTCATGTTTTTTTTTTTTTTTTTCTGCTCTTTCTCATGTTTTTTTTGCTGTTAGTTTGTAAACAACACATTCAATAGCATTTCTATTTAAGAGTTGTTGTTTTTTTTTTTGTTCTAACATTACATCAACAGATTATTATAAATAAAATTTTCCAAATATATTTTGGAAAATATTTTTTGGAAATTCAGACTAGGACCAGTATATTCAAAAGATATACATTTCACTTCTGTGTTTTTTTTTTAAACATATTTTCTTCTCCATGTGTTGAAGAATAAAAACAATAATATTAAGTGGCATGAAAATGAGTCACACCAGTGTCTATGGCTGTAGTTAACATTCACATCTCACTGGTCTACAGAGATTATGTGACAAAAAACAAAACAAAAAATTCCAATCGAGCAAGTTGAAAACACCCACAATATTTTTAATTCTCTATTTCGGAGCAATCTGTGACACAGTAGGCAACAACAATGATCTTCCAACCAGGGGGTCGTGGGTTTACCGTCCCCCTGCTGGCAGCTGGCTGCTCATGTTAGAGAGTCAGAAAATAAAAAGTCATACTGGTCCATTTGATTTAATTATAATTAATTCAAGACTTTTAGTTCGGAAATACTGAAACTACCGAGGTTTACTTACCATTTTTGTTGCAAGCAATCCTCCACAGTTTCAGAACAGACACACACAACTCCTGGCTGATCTGGTCCTTTGTTTTCTGCAGAAGACAACTGTGGAGGAAAGAAACTTTGGTGACATGAGAAATACAAGGGCAGAAAATCATTATCATACTTTCTTAATCGTCATGCTGCCCCCATCAGGGCATCAGTGGATCTTCTCCCTCCAGCTCACTCTCTCTTGCCTCCTCGTCACCAGCCATATCAATAAGACCAGTGGTTCTAAATCTTTTTCCACCACGTTTCACAAATCAAACGTGTTTCTCCAAATAGCAGCAGACACGACCAGCAATTAAACACAGCAGCACAGACCAGGACGCTAAGAATGGAGCTGTTGGAGGATGGGAGTGATGTGGGGTCATTCTTAGGTCACTCAACCTCCTGACCTCCTCTCCTGGCCTTGCCATCACCAGTGAGGGAAGATACTTTACTGTAGAGCCGAACAGTCACTCAAACGCAGCTGTCCTGTAAACCCATCTGTTCCTCTGACTGCGCATCCTCTCTTATCCAACTCTGCCCCTTCTATTAAAAAAATTTAATTCATCACCATCTACACAGCATAGCAGCATAATAACAATTTATAATTGAAAGCAGATATAAAAAATTTAATTCATCACCATCTACACACCATCTACACACAGTCAGATATATTTTACCATGGCAACAAAACAAGCTATTAAAAAAATCTACTAGTGCTGAACATTGGCCCTTGTTAGGTGGGCTAATGTGACACAGCCTCTGGGAAACGTCTCCACAGAAGCCTTTACTCCACGTGTTTTGTTTTATGTAGCTTTCCCTTTATTTCAAAGGAGAATTTCTGATAAGACAGAGGCAACAATGGGAATGATTATCTTTTCTACAGGGCGTTCATTTACTTCCTCCAGCTCACTGCAGACTCTGCACTGGCCCCTTTAATCAAGCTCTCGCCGCAGTTTCTTCAAACTCTCTCCTTCCTGCATGTCGTGTTCCAACTTGAATAATGACACCGCTAACAATGGACAGTGCGCAAAGTATGTGGCAAGTTAATAATAGCCCCGGTGATCTGACACCAGGGAAGTCGTGCTGTAATTGGTATCTTCAGGAAAAACACCCAGAATCCACTCAATGTGCAACTCATCTGAATCTCTAGTGAGATGATTCTTCTCCCCCGCAGGCTGTCACACAAACAAGCAGAAAGGCAGAGAGAGGGCAGAGAGCGATCTCTTTACTTTGGGCCATCATTGTCTCAGAATTGCCCCTGACTTTGTGTCCATCTGTCAGAGCTGCTCTGAGGGCTGGCAGCTACCTTTCCCTCTGGTCTCCTTACCTCCTCACTGTGTCATTCTTGCTGATGATACTGAAACCATTGTGCAGCCGGAAAAGCGTCCGCCCTGTACCTGTTTGGAGGAAAGAGCACAAGTGTGTATGAAAAAAAATGAAGGAGGCAATTTATCACCAGGCGGCGCATTGATGATATATTTTTTTTTTAATCCCAGCATTCCTCTGTTAGTTTAGCTTCCACTGTCCACAGTCATGAGCAGGTGAGAAAGCGATGAATAAAATATGTTGAGAGAGTGAGATGCAGAGGTGTTTCCTGCTAATAACCAGAGAGACGTGCAGAGCAGAGAGAGCATTCAGGTTCAGGTTAAAGATTAGAATCTCAGCCACTGCAGGGATGCTTGCACTGGTGAGTAATACACACACACACACACACACATATATATATAAAATGTTGCCCTTGTTTAAGGTTATTGTTGAAGCAGCTCAGAAATTGCATCACCAGTAGACGTTTTTCATCTCAACAAAGAAGCAAATGTAGGAAAATGTTTTTATTCTTTTGCAAAGGTCAGTCAGTGAGGCTATTTGTTTGTTTCAAACTGTGAGTTGAAGAAACTCAGCGTTAAGGATAAAGTTGAACTGAATGATGTAATTCTGAGTCCAGCGGTTTAACCCTACAGCTGCAGACCCGAGAAACTTTGGAAAGAAAGCGTTATGAACTTGTTATTGTCATGGTGACTCCTAATGAGGAAAAATGAGTCTTTGGACAAGAGGGAGAACAATTCTTTCCTTGTTTAGGCAGAGATGAATGTTACATCACATTTGTGGAGCGTTTCTCTGCCGTATTTGTGTCTTTGTCATACACTACCTCCCAGGCTATTGCTAATATGTTTTTTATTCTGTGATTTGTGTCAATGATTAATCAAAAGAGTTCCCTATGTATTTTGTTAGGCGTGATGCATATCACACAGGGTGGAATATATAATGACAATGAAGGAAACTATCATTGACTCCCTGCTGTGTCAAATTAGATTATTGTCAGCGTTGTGTCACAGAGTAAATTGGGAAAAGAATAAACTCAATAAAGTCTTTCCTTCTCCGTGAAACCTTGAGCTGGGCCATAATCAGATGAAGTCAGCTTGGATTACACTACAGTTTATAATACCTTCATTTGAGTGTAGTGCAAAATGAGTCACCAGGGGGCAGAAGAATTGACTACAGCAGCAAAGTGCAAAGTGTTGAAGGAACTACACATGGCAGTGTCGGGTTGAACGTATCAGTGTATCTGCAGTTATGCCTGGAAGTAGAGAGAAGCAATCAAGCAAGCATGGAGCGCTACTTTATCACATCTCTGTTTGCAGCTTAAATTGAGCAGAGTAAAGACTGCAGCGGGGAAAACCGGCCTTGATGAATTGCACTCTGGAAACATTTGACCAAATCTGCAACTTCTGCCTCATGGCAGTTACTAAAAATGAGTCACATTTTTTGGTTTTTCAAAGTCATTTGTTGGGTCAAAAACATTTACAAAAATGTCAGCAGCAGACGAAGGTTACAGGCTTCGGGGGTGAGGAGGTGAGGTGTGTGGGGGGGTCTCTTTACCCCTTCTCTCTCTGTTGATTCTCTAAACAAAGCATTTTTTTATCAAATGAATTCATTTCGGCAGTAGTTCACAGAGTGGTTTGGCAGAGATTTTACACCGTCTGGCCTTGGGATGCAACCCAAAATGGGATTTGGCCACTAGGTGGCATTCACGCAGGTGATATGTGGGAGCCCTACCACCAGAAGGCCACATGTTTTTTCCCAAAAACGTTCCCCAAATGTTTTATAAATAGCCTGTATCAATATAAAGTCTGTGTTAGTACGGTGGAACATTAAGGAAACTCCATGCTCCATCAGTTCAAAACTTTGGGCACGAAAATAAAAACCCTCATTGAATCTGCTATGATTGAAAATACTGGTCTATAAAGTACACTTGGGAAATACTTAGAAATGTAGTATTTGGTGTCTTCAGCCGTTAGCATATATATGTATACATAGTATGTGCGTATATATCTATAAATAACTGTGCATTGATTTATTGAGTTCATCTTTTCGGATTAAGTTAAATAGGAACCTGAGAGAACAGAGGAAATGTGTGTAGGATGATGGGGTGGGCCGTAGCTTTATGCTCACCTGCACTCTAATAAATGGTAGCAGAGGCAGGAAGCAGGACGTCGGCACGGGAACGTTTTTCAAAATAGCGTCACGTCATGAAAATGTTTGTACATAGTTACAATTAGTTATAATTAGTTATCATATTTTTCTATAAGAAACACAGGGTAATTCATGTAGCTCCTCGTCTCTGCAGGTTAACTTAAGGATTTACATATTACATATTTACATATTTACACGTCACCTGTTGATGATGACAGAGTGAAGCTAAATTTCTGGTTAGACTAACAATAGACATATTTAGCCTATTTCACTGACATTAATCTTTAAATATGAGGTGTTGGACAAACATTCACAGCTCACAGCTCTACTCCCTGGCTGTGATATTCTCTATCTATATATCAAGCAGAACGTGACTTTGCAGGTAAATGAACATCTGTCACTGCTGGCTGAGAGTTGCCAGCTCATCAGTTTTGCAACCAAATTACATCAGCGAGCACTGACCACGGGAATGTACGTACAACAGCACTAATTAAAATGCAGAGGAACAGCTCACGAATCAAATCATAACAACACTGCAGGGACTCGCTCACCAAAAAACAAATTAGTGCAAAAAAGCATTTGTGTCATTTCCTGATGCAACAAACTTTAACATCATTACATCCTTCTTACCTTAAAATAGTTTCTCTTTCTTTTGGTGGGAAATAAAAATACTGAACCGTAGCATTTGTTGAACTCTGCTGAGTACTGCAAGTTCTAGAGCACTAGTTAAGCTCTTATTGGGTCTGACCCATGTGATTCATTTAGGTATATCTGTTAAACCTGACTAAGGGGTGGTTATTATTTTTTTTATTATTAAAGATCAGTCATTTTATCCAGACACAATAAAACTAGTGAAACAGCATTTAGCGAAAAGACACATTTTCAAGAGGAAAACTCACAGTCAGCAACAGCTTCCGACAAAATCTGCAATCCTCCGTGGAAGGAGAGCGGCGTCTGACCAGGCCGTGACAGCATCTGGAGCCACTGCGGCACCGCCGTGCCCTGTCCCTCTCCACTGTCAAGTTCTTGCCTTGCATTTATTTCCTGAGTCTCCCTCTCCTGCGTCAAATCTACCTGGGTCAGGTATTCTAAATTGAAAAAACAAAGATAAGAGACAAAAGATAAAGAAAAAGCAAACCAAAAGGCTCTGACACAAATGTATTCCACAATGGATACTTTAGTTGCACTGTCTTTGAAAGAGAGAGTCCTGAAAGTCTTCTGAGGTGAAACTCACTGTCCTTGATTGACGTAAACACACCAGGAAATATTTATTATTTTTTATTTATTTAAACTGCAAGTAAAAATCATAATCTTCAGACAGAAGCAGTGTATTATTATTATTAGGTTGTTATTGTGTTATTTTTCCTACTACCATTATAATATTGACTGTATATTTTATTATATAATTACTGTGTATATATACAGTATTATTGTATGATACATGCGGTAATACAAACTGCTGCTACTCACATGCAACTATGGTGTCACTTATAGTAATCTTACAATGCACAAAAATAATTCATTATTATTTTTCATTTAATCCAAAAAAATGAAATTGTGAATGAATTTAATTTAAACTATTGTGACATTTTAATTTCTTGAAACATTAGAATTAATTTTAATTCTAATTAAAAGCCTTTCATTTATTTTTATTTTTTTCATTTTATTTTTTACCTGTCACCATTTCCTTTCTTCTTGGTTCGATCTCCAATATCTTTTCAAAGCAGCGTCTTGACTGTGGAAGAGAAATGGTTTGGTCACAGTGCATCAACAACCTCATGTATTTCTGGACTCCTGAGGCCTCACAGTTGTTAATGAGCTAATCTCCAAGTTAAAGTGAAGACGATGGAAGAACTCCATATATGATATATTATATACAGTAGCTGCTCCGTATATTAGCTTCTTTTGCATGCTGATGTGAACTGCAGCTGATAAGATGCCTATTGTGGGCTAATGTGCCAAATATTGCTATAATTAAAATGATATGAGATTACTGTGCTCACCTCATTATATTCCTTTAGTTCCAGATAAGCTCGGCCCATATGTAAGTAGGCCTTTGTGCACCTCTCATTACACTAATAGAGAAAAAGAAAAAAAGATCACGGGGGTGTTTTGGTTGAGCTGCTTCATGAGCCGCACGCCTACACAAAGGCCTTAAACATAACGTAGGAATAATGAAGAGCGTAATAAGGACAGAAATTAATGTAGTTCCACGTCTAAGCCTTTGTCGTGTTAAAATGAAGAGGCTGTGCAGTGACAGGTGGGAGGGGGGTAGGAATTCCCTTTAAACACTACAATAGAACATTTTAAAAATCACACTGTTCATTTTTCATCATTCATTCACTGGCTGTTCATTGTCTGCAGGGATTCTGCCCTTTGTGTGCATTTTCACTTTTCTGACTTTTGCAAATGGTCGGTTTCTGCCTCTTATTATTTGAAAACAAGTGGTTGTTTGCCTGTGAGATATCAAATGTCACTGTACAGTTAATACGGCTGAACATGTCATCACTCCTGCCTCCCAGTTCATTTGGAATCAGAAACTCTGAATACCTTTATCATCTGTAGTGAAAGTACTCTTTTCTTCACCATTTAATCTTTCTATATGCTTATGTTAGCTGTACAGGCTGCACTACCTCAGAGTCGCCTGTAGGTGGGTTTTCACTTAAACGTGATGTGAAGATTTTAGGCTTTCTTAAATAGATGTTCTAAAAGAACTAGTAGAAGTAAGAACGTGTGTTGTTCGTTTGTTTAAATGCTGCTGAAACGAATTCCTCAGAGTATTCTTTTTTATATTATAGTCTTCATCTAATAAATGCATTACAAACCTATAATTATCCTATGCTTCCTGTAGAAAAGTATGAAAACAAGTCCTGACTAAAGCAAACATATGGTAATGATATAAAAAAAAGACTCTCTCATGATGCAACGCTGTTTTTGAAGAATTGTTCCTGTGCCGATGACCTGCTTCCTGCCTCTGCTACCAATTATTAGAGTGCAGGTGAGGATAAAGCCCCTGTTGGCACGGCCCACCCATCGTCCCACACACACACGCACACACACACACACACACACACACGTCTCCTCTGAGCTCCCAGGTTGAAACAGAACATTGCGCGGCATGACTGTGAAAAATGAGGGTGAACATCTGAGCGGCCCTGAGTGAATCCTAGTCAGTTCTCACCTTCAAGGCCCATTCACAGTCAATGATGACTTCCCTGTACTTCCTCAGTTTGAAGTAAGCCTGTGGAAAATACATTGACATTACACAGTAAGTATTTACTGGATGTTACTGGCTGTTCATAACCGTAAAAAATGTTTACGTCAGTGTAAAACTATTTGACCAGGTGTAAGAAGTGGACCAGGAAGTAGGCCACATGTAATTGTGATGAACCAATGAGTTGTGATTGATTAAAACTACGGTGAAATAAAGGTCAACTTCAGATTCATTTCATCCAGAGTTGTATATAGATAATGGGCAAAGCTCCGTTTAACATCTGAAAGTGCTTCGGTAGTTTCACGCTGCTATTGGACAATGCTGCTGTCAGTCATGCAGTGACCTATGCTACAGCTTCACCATGAAACCAAAGCCTGCAGCATGTGTAGCATCAGCACTTTCAGTGTTTTCTTTGTAAATAGCACACGATGTCAGTCACATGTAACAAAATGTGTTTTGTAAACAAAAATGAAGCACATGACTGACACCTAGGATTCACTAACTTGAAGCAAAACAGTCCATAGATAGATATTTATACCTGGGCACGGTTGGTGTACAACTGCTGCACGTCCCGTAGCTCAGCCAGTCCATGGCTGTAATACTTCACTGCACTGTCGTAGTCCTCCTGGGCATAGGCTTCATTCCCTTTCTCTTTGAATGCTGCAGTGAATCAGAGGGTACACATAAACATTTGAAATGATGTGTTTGCGGTCCGACGGGGCACAAAAACTTTCTGCCGCATGAGATAAAGACAAAATAAATAAAATAAGAATGACGTACCGAGTGCCTTCTGTTCCCTGGCCGTCCGTCTCTGTCTCCTGTCCTCGGCGTCTCTTTCTAACATCCTCATAAAACCCTCTGATTAGAAAAGAGAAGTAAATGACAAAATGGTCCGTTTGAATGTAGAGCAGACGGAAGATTCGTTTTTGTTCTTTTTCCTGTTGAGGCTTCTCACATTTTCAATAAATCCGATCAAACCAACACTTTGCTCTTTTTCATTCATCTTTTGAAAACTATAGAGTCTCCCTGAAGACTCATCTGTCTATTATTCCCGGAGTGTTTTTTTTTCCCACCAGAACCGATTACAGATATCAGCTGGAGGTAATTTGAAAACTGTTTTGCTCAGCTTCCTGCTCAGTCTGTGACGCATAATTACTTTTTCAAGTAACATTCACACTGGTGAAAGGTTTGTGTGTGCGGCTTTATTTATACTGTTAAAGCTCTACTTCAGGAAGAGCTGAGAAGTAGTTGATGGAAAGTCTTCCTTTTTTAATGTCATATTCCATTCATGGTCTTTATGCACGAAGGATGTATAGAAAAATAGATTTTATGAAAAATAAAAAGTGAAGTCCTAGTGTTAGGATTATTGAAAAGACTTGGAGAATAACGGTGCACTTGCAGAAGTGTCTTCCATTTGTGTTCTCAGTGTCCGCGTATAACAAAGATGTTGTGCCTCGGTGTTCTGGGCTGTAAATACTCCTATCTGCTCGGCATTGTGTGAGGCCCTTGGGATGACTAAATCAACAGAAACGTATCAATCAAGCGGCGTCATTCATATCCTCTAAAGCACGGCACACTGCTGCTTTGATAAGGCGCTGAAGAATTAACTCCAGCGTCTTATCAAG